CTGAACCTATTAAGGTTCAATATTAGGGTTTTGCCTCTGGATTCCTGTACTGCAGCAATTTTGGATGTGTATGAGATATGAAATTTTGCTGAATGCCTTCTTATCCCTTGTCTGTTTACTGCCCACTAATCTATCAGCTATTAAAAGTAAGGCTCATGCTTTGTGTTCTTCTAGTAGTTGGATGAATTGATGGTGATAATATGCCCTGTCTTGATTTCCAGGTATATAAACAATGCAAATTTGAATGAGTTATCTTGCCTCTCAGGTGAAGTTTCCAGCCAAGACACGAAGTCTGTGTGTGTGTGTTCATGTGCGTGTGCATACACACCTTGTGTGCTTATGTGTGCGTGTGTGTGCTGTGTTTTGAAATAAGCTAACTATGAACCATAAACTTTTATGCTTTATTGAATCAACTCAATAAATTAGTTCAGGCAAGTGCAAATATTTGCAGGGATAGCTAATACAAACAAGCTATCATGTATAGAACACTTACCATGTGGACAATTGGATTCTGGCTTTTTTTTTTTTTTAAGGAAAAGAAAAATTTCTGATATCTACTGCCTTCAGTTTACTCATTTAATAACATTTCCCTGACTCTTTTCTACTGATCTTGTACTGTCTGGGGGCACATTGGTAAAAAGCTGGCAGAAAAGGGCTTCTCATTCAGCAAATTCTTGTGGAAGCAGGAACCTACTGTATGTTTCCTCCTTTTGTAATAGAGCTGAAATTCTCACCTGAAACAGACCCAGGTCTAGAGGTAAAGGGTGGAGATGAAAGAAAAAGAGATAACAGTGTGTGTGCACGTGTGTCGGCGTGTGTGTATGTGTGTGTTCATGCATGTGTGTGTGAGGCATTTGCAAGTATGAGTGAAGCACCCATGTCTTACTTGTTCCCAGTGGGGGATGCTGTCTAAATCATGTCTCTTCCTGTCGATGCAAGACATCTCGGTTCTTTGAAACTTTGGTAGGAATGAAATATCCATCAGTGAACAAAGAAATAGTTTCACCAAAGAAACCATTCATGGTAAACTCAGTTACAGTGACATTTCGGAAATTGACACTAGTCAACAGTTTTCCTCTACCCTCCACTCCTATCATCATGTATGTCTATTTGGCCTCTTCCTCCAGATTTATGTCTGGTTTTTGGGAAAAGCTCTTTACGTCAGCAATGTAATGGCTTCTATAAAATAAGAGCTCTCCTGTCTAGAAAAATCTAATAATCTTAATAAGCCAATGTTTATAATATTGTTTCATTAAAAATAAACACATATTTTGTAGTTAAAAGCTCTTCTCTGCTTCCAAGTGGGCTTTCCATCTCATGAGATATTAAGAAGTGGGACTGTTAAAGAAGGGAATTAAGGAAGAGGCAGGAAATACAGAAGAAAAAATTCACAAAATTTAATATGCCAACACACAAGGCTAATGTCTCCTTCCTCCATAATTTATGTTAAAATTTATCAGATTCAGAAGTCAATAAGATAAATAGCTGTATATCGTTTTTCCTTGCGCTATAATTTCATCACAGGTGTATCTTGCTCATTTATAATGCAGTATCTTGATATTTGAAGGCAAAATATTTCAAGTACTCTGACAAGCTAAAAATGAGCCCCTAAAAGTTTGTGTAAATCGGCATTTATATATTTTCTACATAAAATTAGTTCTCAAACTCAAAATCAAAATATTTGCAAAGGTATCATATGAATATATTTCTTAGGCATTTTCTTTGCAAGGTGCAACATGAAATTTTAAGTAGTCATTAATTGTTTCTTTTAAAACAGCTCAGCTGAAATACACAGGAACAAACTATTGATGCATGCATGGATCTTAGGGGTGTTATGATGACTGAAAAAAGCCAATCTCTAAATGTACATACTGATTACATGTATCCAGGCATTCTCAAAATGACAAAATTATAGAGATGAAAAGGAGATGGGTGGCAAGGAGTGAGGGAAGGGGAGGGGAGTGGGGGGTGTGACTGCAAAAGAACAGCCCAAAGGACTTTCTTTGAAGTGATGCAGCAGGTCTGTATCTTGATCCTGATGATGACACATAAAACTCCGAGAACTATATCATAGAACTATATGCAAAAACGGGTGAAATCCAAGTAAGGTCTGAACTCCAGCTAATTGTCTATTGCCAATGCCCTGGTTTTGCTAACGTACTGTAGTTATCACTGGAAGAGACTGGGTGATTGGGGACAAAGGACCTTTCTGTACTATTCCAGCAACTTCTTTTGAGTCTATATTTCAAAATATAGAGGTAAAAAACATAAACTTCTGTTGAAGAAAGGATTCCAGCTACTAACCAAACTTAGGAAGCAATTTAGTCAAAAGACTGGTGTCCGTGCACAAGGCTGGGCTTTTAGATATCAACACTGAAGATTCCTGATTTAGCATGTGCTTGGTATCCTAGGTCTGCAGCTCTTAAGCTATGTAATTGAAAGCAGTGTCTGTTTCCAACACTTCTATTAAAATTGCAGAATCAGGAAATTTCAGGGCAAGCAGGGACCTCACAGAGAATGCAGGCCAAGCTCTCAGGTTACACTTCTCTGGGTTTTGGTATCCTCATTTGTAACTTAAGGACTTTGATCTAGTTTCTCTGTAGTGTCCTGCCTAGTTGTAAATTTTATAATCCACAACTTTCTAACATTAACTACAGAAACTTCAACGGTGATCTTATAAATTTTGCCTCAGTATTTACCGCATCAGACAAATACTTCAACTTAGGTTAATTACAAACATGGATGCAGAAACAACCTATTTATTATGTAACACCATTTCACACATTAAAATCAACTGGAGATTAAATTAACTGGATTAATTCTTACTGCATAGCTAAGGTTTTAATTTTCTGGGCAGTTTCTTTGAGATGACTTACTAGCGCATTTTCCTTGTACAAACCATATTACTTGTATCCACTTAAGTATTTATGAAGAAAGAGGAGCTTTACTTAGGTTAGTGTTTCCCAGTATGGGTCCCTTGAATGCCCACTAGATCTGCTAAATCAATCCTGGGGAGATTCTGGAAAAGCAAGCACTCAAACTTTAAAGTGTGGCCATTATCATTTGGGAATAAATGGTAATATGCTCTCTTAGCAACCAATACAGCTTTAGCTTCCTTATTCATCTCAACTGCTTTTCTTCATGGAATGCTAAATTTTGATTACCTTGGGAAGCTGAGTCCACTATAATAAACATGGGCTCAGATTCTTTAGGGATGTGCCTTGCCCTGTGATAGCATTCTTAGACGAAAGGATCTTAGCTGTAACATTTTGTTTTTTGGATTGATTTCCCAAGTCTAGAATAATTTAAATCACAGTGTTTCAAAGACAAAAGAAAACCAAAACCAAAACCAAATAAACCACAAAACTAGCAACTCACAGCATTAATGTAATCATTTTATTAACAAAAGGAACCCATGGGGTTCAAAGAAGAGTACAAAATACAATCTTTATTTTTTTTCCCTGTGGGTTAAATTGTTAACATTTTTAATAATAAAAATAAAAAAAAAGCTTTACATAGTTAACTTATCAAAAACATAACCCCCTGCCTATTGAGTTTCTTGTTGTGCAAAACAAAAACATAAAAAGTAAAGTTTTGCCCATGGAATGATATTGTGTGCCAAAAGATGCACATTTTCAACTTCAAAATTTTTGCATCAAAAAGAAAATTCTAAGGCCACAGTTTTATTTTTTGCAAACTAAACAAGAACAAGAGGGGATAAACAAGCAAGTAACAGCAGCTAAATTTTTAATCTTCATTCCCAGGTATTCTCTGTTCCAATGTAGAATTTCTACATTCATAAAATGCTCTCTTGATTATAAAAATGTATGCAGTTTCAACCTACTGCTTAGGTCAGATATACCACTATCAATAAGGCAAGTCACACCTTTTAGATATTCTCTTAACTACTACAAAGTTAGCTCTGCTTCAGTTTCACAGGGGCACTTCATGATTTCTGTAATAAGGGTGATAAAGAATCCTAGTGAGGAATTCCATTAAGTAATTAAACTTTCTGTCCATACTGTTTGAGTTTGCTTCTTGCACTTTGTTTTGGTATCATGGAGATGGACAATGTCTTGACAAGGCATGTAAACTACAACTTAGAAGTCAATAAATAGTTGAAGGTGATCTTTTCTAAAGTAAAAACAATTGTTTAGATAGCACTTTACTATACATACCTATTTAAAGACACACACACAAAAAGCAAAATAAAACAGCAGTAAAATAAAATCAAGGAATAAAATTTTGTGACAATTCCAGTACCACAATTACTGGTCTAACAGCGTTACATTGTGATTTTAGACAGTGGCTTACAATACAAGAAGTGCATACATAATGCTTCCATGATTACAGAGAGTGGAGGTTGTGTCCAGAAGGGTGAAAAGCATACATTTACCTAATGTTTGTAAAAAAATCCCTGATCAAATAACCAACTAATTTTTAAATATAAAATTTAACCTTAGAAGAACTTTTCCATTTCTAAGTGAATATACTGATTGATTCAAAGATAAATTAATCATTCTGTTTAAGTACAGTATTCTGTAGGGGAAGCACCAGGGTTTCTAGATCAAACCCTTATAAAACACGGAGAAAACCAAAGTACTTGCTGGTCTAAAGTCTCTATCTTGGGAATCTCTATCTCCCTTCCACTTAGTGTCTAGAAATGTTCTCAGCTCACAAAACCAACAGATGGAAGGAAAAGTGAGTGAAAATGTGACATGAAATAGGAGGGGAGACAGAGATAGTAAAAACACTGCTCAGACTTTTAGCAGCAACACAATCCTGTTGGTCTGAAAATCCTGAGGTTAAATGATAACAAAATATTGCACCAAAACAATAAAGAAAATCACAGTTTAAACAGAACTACTGAAGAACTGGAATAACAATATACAATGTAGTAAATGCCATCAATAGACTAAAGTCTCTTCACAGGAATTAAATTTGTGTCTTTTTAAAAAATGGCATGGTTCCTACCCTCTTTTGATTTTGCATTTATTTTGAAATTCCCTTGATATACCTATATTTACTTCCATTTAATGCCCAAGGGGTTTTTCCCTTGGCCCAGATTCAGATTTAGTGATGGGGGGATGAGATTGCTACTGCAAACAGTAGAAACTCCAGAGAAGACTGATCTGACCTAGAGTGTTAAAAACATGTCTGATAACCCCACGAGAGGTAGATTTAAGAAAGGCTTTTTTTTTTTGACTGTGTAGTTATCAAGGCATCCTGAAGATGCAACGTTTTTATCCCCTTTTCTTCTCTAATGCGCTCCTAGGTAAATAAGATATAAGGAAAACCAAACATATATCCTGTATAAAGTACTTAAAGGGGATAAAAAGTACAGCCACATTTCAACAAAATGTGTTTTCATACCAAAATTCATCTTTCCCCTTTGCACTGAGAAGTTTTTCAAGAAGCCATTTCTTAGTCTCATAGTACTGTACAGCCAATTTATAAGCTACATTTTAACCTACCATTGAAAGAGTGAAAACTGTATGACTTCATTAGGACCTTATATGATCATGATCTCAAGAAAAGAGACTTTCAAGGACTTCAGGCCTGAATATGGTAATACGGTAAGAAATCATGAAGACCCTGCAACTTGCGGGTCTCCCTTTATATTTAAAGTAGGCCATTTTCCTATTCATGCCCACCCTTGTGCTGCTACTCTCTCCAAAACCAAGTCTTCTCCCACTGAGTCCATATTGCCTTAAGTTTAGGATACTTTTAAAAACACTGTGGGAAGCCCACAGTGTTTCCTGTTTACAGGTTCCTTTCTCTCAGGTCAGCACTGGCACCCCTTCACTTACTCTATCACCGTCAGGACTTCCGTTACATTCTGTGACTTTTTACATCTTCATTCCATTTTTTGAAAGGGATATATGAGCATCATATAAACTTGTGCAAAGATCCTGTTGGCCCACTAGAAAGTTCTTGTACGTTTTAATTTTTATTGCCTTCGGTCTTGATGTTCAAGACTGAAGAACTTTATGTTCTTAAGTGAATCTTCCCTCTCTCTTTCCCAAAAAGCAGAAGAAAAGAATAAATATTCTGATTTGATGATGAACACAGTGATTTCCGAAATCTATTCAGAGAATGAAGGAAACAGGCTGGGTCTCTTCTACATCACTAGGATGTGGATCAACCTGCAAAAAAGAGCAGACCAAGATTACTGCTGTAGCATTCTCTAAAATGATTCTAGTATCTATTTCTGTTATAATTATATGATGGTTATAAGCCAAGTTGCCCAGAGCCTATTATTAATAATTCCCAGTAGGCCACTTAAGCTCTCCATATTCCATGGCCACATAAAACATCTTAAAGGAAATCCACAATCCTGTATATGATACCACAGATCACAAGGAAAATACTGGAAAATGTGGTAAATGGATCAGTCATAGTCTATCACCACTATAAAAACAAATTTATATTTCTCCTATAAATTATCAGTTGACAACAGGCATTTTAATGAGCAGACAACTATAAATTGTTATTTATAAGCAGTGCAACAAAAATCTAATTTTCTTTTGCTTTGTTTACCTCTGAATAAAGAGGTGGGGGTTGGAACCGGAATTCTGGTATGCAGGCAAACATAGGACAGCATACTTCTTCCTCACAGTTAGAGAGTTGAGGATAAGGAGGAATGTGTCTAGAGAATTCTTCCTCTGATACCACATCTGCATAATTTGGTGGTGCTGAAACAGAAATGAAGTTGGAGCTAAGAAATCCATGCAAAAATTACTCTCTCTCTTGTGAACTTACACAAAACTAAGAAATTTAGCTAAATTTGAAGATAAAAATATGGTATTTCTTCCTATAATCATCAAGTTTTTGTGCCCATTACAACAAAATACTTAATAGATTTTTATTTAATGACTACTAATATTAATTTTACTCTACCCTTTTGAGATGTATGGTTTATAATTAAGGTAAACAAATATCACTGAAATGTGGCTATAGAAAATACATGAACACTCTATACTTCTATTTTTCATTGTCTTATTATTTAATCAGAATCAGGAGATGTACATTTTGTTACTGAACCTGCCATCAGCAGCTTTGTCTCCTGGGTAAGTTAATATTTTTAAGGTCCTTTTCAAGAATAATGTTTTATGACTTTACAGTAATGAGAATAAAGACAGCTGTAGTAGTAGTAGTAGTTAACATTTGAGCACTTAATATCTTATATGTTCATGTTCTTAGGTACTTTCCTTGTAAAACTTCATTATGAAAGAACTTCAAAATATTTTACCTTCAGGCCGTTCTGGCAGGGTCAGTGTCAACCAGCTCATATCCATACTGAACTGGCTGGCTACACTGGAGTTTCTGCTGCCAAAACCATTATATGGAATTGTACCAATCACTAATGGCAGTTCAATCATCAATTTTTTAGCACCAGGAATGTGAATATATACCTAATATACCAAAAAAAACCAAAACCAAAACAAAAAAAAGAGAGAAAGACAAAAATGTAAGTTAAACCTCATAGTAGACAGCATGATTAATTTCTTTTTGATAGATAATTTCTTCATGATCTGCCACCACGTCCCATTACAATTCTAAATTGTCTTGACTGAACACAATAAAGAGTATGCAAAACATAGTGAGTGCTCTATGATAGGTAACTTGGCCTTAACATACTTCATTGTACTTTGGCATGGCTTACATAATTACTGTAGAAAATTAAGTATATGTCTTCAATGTAACAAGCACCTCTTAATGCATCTGAATTCTTTGATGTTATCTTATTAAATCCCTTGGGGGGGATGGTTTTTGATTAAAAACAAAAGCCAATCTTCATATATTTCACAACTAATGGTAATGCTGACATAAAATGACATTTTCCCAGGTAGCTGCATATATGTGCAGTAACATGACACCAGTTATTGCTCCACTCTACATATTTTTAATTTAAAGAGAGCTCTGCTTACAGCTAAGGAATAATCCACTCTGATAATGCAGCAATCTAGGATGGATGGAGTAACAGGTGGAATTTTTAGAGTTTTTCCATTCCACGTGTCGGTGCTCCCAGAAGCAATGTGGTTTCCTCGCACATTGGCGACCATGTGACGGACAGTCTTTGTTTTCCCACTAGCCAAATACGTCTGGGTTTGGAAAATAGCAGCTTTGGGAACAATCAGACGAGACGAACAATTCTCTATTTCTGCATAGATTGGAATTGCTTCTCCTAGAAAGAAAACAAAAACAGGGTGGATTCAGGGACTTTTCAAAAAGTTCTCATCACAGTGAAATATGGCCATTTCCAATTAAAGCTAACTTGTTCCAATAATATTTCAACAAATTGAGGCACCCTGATGGAAAACATATTGTAAATCTAAGTCAGAGAAATAAAAATTCACTGCAGTTGTGGTAGATGTTATTTCTTAATTATTATATTTAATTATTACATTTTCTAATATAGAGATATTATATTAGCAATTCAAACGATATGTAAATTACCAGTATCTACATAAATTAAGATATGCACTTAAATGATTCAGTACTATTTTAAGTATAAAAGATCACTAACAAACTCATTAGTGCCTATCAAATTAAAATCTGCCCAACAGGAAAACAAAGTCTTTGCTTTTAAAAAATTAATAGTGTTAAGGTACAACTAAATCAATGGATGAAACAGGCAAGTTTTGCAACATTATGAATCCACACTAGACCATTCCATACTGCATTCCTTTTCAATAAGCCAGAACCATGGAGTAGGAGCCAAATCCACTGTTGGAACTGGACCCTTTGCAAATGATAGCTCTAATATCAATTTGGCTATTAAGTTTGTTAATGTTCTACATTCTGGCCCCATATATTTGTATATCTTAAGTCAGCATGGAATCAGAACGTGAAAGAGCAATTCATATTACAATAGTTCTCTTTTGAGCAACATGACTCTGGACATTCTTTTGCAACATTAAAATAAGATGCTGGCATTTTCCCACTCCTCTAGTTTTACTCTTTGTTACGAAAGTAACAGCATTTAAGTCAGAAATACCAAGAGTTTTATTGGAACCTGTTCATCCATTTGAAAATATTTAAATATTATTCATATTAAAAACAAAATTTTATTACTAGTCATGTTTTAAAATACTATATACTTCATATGTTATAAAACACACCATTTAAAATCACTTAAACTTAGCTAATAAAATGAATGAACCTTTCATTTAGACTTGCAAGCATTTTGCTTACCATTACAGTATCCCTTTCTTTCAATTTTGGCACTCAGTGAGACTGGACCAGAAGTGAAAAACCAACAGCCAACCATTTTCTCTTGAGTTTTCAATACAGGGGTCTTGAAAATTTCAAATAAAAAAATGACCTTAATTAAAAGACTCTACAGAACTCATAGAATTTAAAATTATGTCTTTCTTCATAGAATAGTTGTAAAGAAATTAGCCACCAAAGCACAAATCAACCTTTCTTATCCTCATATGACATATTAGGCAAGATATGTTCTGAAACACAAAGTGTTAAAACTCATCCCCCTTTTAGGAAAAATAAGGTGAATTTTCAGATTTAAATTGGCATGTCACCATCCTATTTTACTCTGAAGTTATTATATTTCTAGCAAATGATATGCCATACCTTAAAAAAGCAATCAAAAGCTTCACTAGTACCTACAAATATGATAGAATTATTTTTAAGACTTATGTATAGATCATGTGAAAGGAGAAATGATATAAAAATCAATAATCAGAATATTATATTTATTTTGGCATTTAGTAAGTAGAATAAGTAAACAGTGTCCCACCCCCCTTCTTCAAAATACATCATCAGGCAGACATTTTAACTGTCCTTAATTTGGCATGGTTTTGGGATTTTGTGTAATGGTGCAATGACATACCCAGTGTTAAAGATCTAAAAAGGTTATGAAACACATCACTCCACTATAGTATTCTATTCCATAGTAACAAGAGAAATGACACAAGATTTACAATGCTTAGTTTAAAAGTTGCACACACCAAAACCTTCCTATAAAACCCAATGTTACTTGCAATATTTTTTCTTTATTTATAGAAAGAATAGTAAAAAATAAATAGTATCTGTTTTTGGCAAAAATCAATTGCCACAATGGTCATAAAGAATTTAGAAATATTTAACTGTCCAGTTCTAAGTAGTTTATACAAATACAAGACACTTAGCTTCACCAATTTTCAAATGAGTTTTGAGCAGCTGTTAAAGTTGTAGCTATAAACCAGGGCAGCTGGGTGCTGGCTATTTTATGATTTTGGCCACAAGTGACCATATAACCACACCATATCTGTTATCTTTTCACAATCTAAAGGTGAACATTAGAGAAAATTCTATTTCTTTTTCATGTGAAAATAGGAGTCAAACAACTTTTAACTGCTGGCTTTCTCCTTGTTTTTAAAAACATTGGCTGGAAAAAGAAACCTCCAACACTAAAAATACATCTTTGTCACATCAGTATCATAATGGAAAGTTTAAATTATCTTGGTATTTTCTATGAAGTAAAAAATCATTCATTCATATTTAAATGAAGAACCATTAGGTCTTAGTAGCTATCATGAAAGTACAAGGTATAATTTTATATTATTTTGATAATATGGGTTTAGATAAAAGGATCTAGCTCATTAGCTCCCATCTTGCCTATTCTGTTGTTACTTATAGCCTGATCTTTCTTATCAGTCTACAGTATTTCTGGTGATTATTAGAAGTTCAATGCTTTAATGTGGCCAAATCTGTCATAAGGAAATGATAAGTGAAAGGATCGCGGCGGCAGCTGCATGCACTTACTTAATGTTAGAAAATGACATGCAAAATGGAAGGATACATAGCATAATGGCCTGAGCTTCAATAACAGGCTGAGCATGATTAATACTCTTCCATAATTACTGTTCCTCAACCTGCTATTATTGAAGAGTTTAGAATATCACAGTCCTGTGAATGTGGCCGCTCTGGTAAAAAGTAACCACTCTCTGTGTGTGCATTATTGTTATTAAGCCTTATTAATGCATTTCAAGCCTGTGTAACTTTTTGGCAAAAGAAGCCCCGAACAGCAGGGACATAATCAATAGTATTAACACACACAATTTGTAATTTGCCCAACCTAGAATCATATATTTGTAGTGAATGCCTATGGGTTACAAGATTGTATTTTTCTAAACCATCAGAAAGTGACAGGACAGACTACCACTAAACTGGCTAAATATAAATAACACTATTGAAAGGAAGGAGGAAGAGAAGAAAGGAGGAAGAGGGGAGGAGGAGGAAGAGAAAAATGAAGAACTTACTAATAATGCCGGCGTGTTGACATCGATATGACTAACAACCTGGAGTTCCCGCTTTACACTCTGATCGGGCACCTTGGGCCGTTCCAAAACTGCCCTAACACAGTACTGAATACTTCCATATTTCCCGGTAAATGAGGTGACCAAAGGTCTGAAACAAACCAAAAACATTAATTTATAAGTTTATTTTTCAGTTAAACAAAAAAAGGAAAAGCACGATTTAAATATTTTAGGTTGGGGGGAAAGTGTAGGCAGGGTAAGTCTGTCTAGGGACTATGCTATTCAGTGTAAACATGCATACTGGAGAGTTAGAAGATACCTGGTACCCATACATTATTACAGACATATCACAGGGAAGGATAATCACAAACATAATAGTTTCACTTACTCAGATGGAAGTTGAAAGCGAAATGGAAATTCATGTTTTCCAGGCTGTAATAAAATGATACCTTCACCTATAAAAGATATTACATTTTATTTTAATTAAGGTTAGTAACAGATCAAGAGGTTTTACAACCATATTTTTAAAGAAGGTCTTCCTGGCTATATAATGCAGTATGCTCTCAAAGTTCATTAAACAGATTTAGAGAATTAAAATTGAATCAGTTTTTTTTTTTTTTTTTTTTGAGACAGAGTCTCGCTTTGTTGCCCAGGCTAGAGTGAGTGCCGTGGCGTCAGCCTAGCTCACAGCAACCTCAAACTCCTGGGCTCAAGCGATCCTTCTGTCTCAGCCTCCCAAGTAGCTGGGACTACAGGTATGCACCACCATACCCGGCTAATTTTTTCTATATATATTAGTTGGCCAATTAGTTTCTTTCTGTTTATAGTAGAGACGGGGTCTCGCTCTTGCTCAGGCTGGTTTCGAACTCCCGACCTCGAGCAATCCGCCCGCCTCGGCCTCCCAGAGAGCTAGGATTACAGGCGTGAGCCACCGCGCCCGGCCTGAATCAGTTTTTGATAACACACACACACACAGTTCCATTCTCAAATAGACCAATTACATAATACCATAAAGTGCTAGAGCCCATAGCTTCAATATACATATATACGTGTGTGTATATATGTATACAGATGTATAAAAATTCACAATTGTTTACCCCACTCTATTATACTAACATAATATACCAATATTAAATTGGACCTAAAATTAATTTATTTAAAGATAGATTTATTTTGGATATACCACAAAAAATCACACTATGTATTCTTTGGGCAGAGATGGATAAGAGAAAAAATTATGAATATTAATAGTGGCTATTATATTACAAAACAGCAAACCAACAAGACAAATTCACCCTAGTGCTCTACTGATGAATCGAGTTTCTTGGTGGTTAACTTGGGATAGAGAAAGGGCTTTACCAAGCATAGCCATGGCCCTTTACTCTGCTTTGGGTTGCCAGCTCCGTTTTATTTCATGCAGAGGCTTATCACTGATTGTGAGAAAGCCAAAATGCAGGGTGTGGAGGGACTGTGTAATGCCAGCGGCACTGCTGGAACCTCTAATGAATGTACATAGACAATCTGTTTAATTCAGATCTAAAGCAGACCCCATGGGTCGGGTGGCTCTCTTGAGATACTCACAAACTTTCCCTTCATTGAATGCTCAGATTTAATACTAAATTCCCTCATTGTGGGGGGATGGAGGGCAAATAAATAATAATAAGGGGGAGCACAGAAAAAGAACTTTGTTAGAGATTTGCCTGGGCACCTGACACTAAAATTAAGATTTCCACTTTATCCATTCATTGAAAACATTTTTAAAGGGCAGGAATCACTACTGAAATGGGATTTTTTTTTCTCACTTAAATACTGAATTTTATGAACTTAAACCATTCAGCTAACATTCCAATCTTGCTTGTACTCAAGAAAATAGGAACACATTATTGGCCCACAAACTATTCTGAATCCATCCTCAATTTTCAATGCGTAACACATTGGGGGGGGAAAAGTAACATAGGTGCCACTTAAGACCATTTAAATAGAAATACTCCACAGGTGGGTGACTTGGAGGCAAAGTGAACAAGAACAAGTCACAGGGACATGAGATCATGATAAATGATAGTGCTAGGGCGAGCATAGGGGCTAGGAGTGCTCAGAAGTGTCCCAGCAGAAAGCGAGAGAGAGAGAGAGAGAGAGAGAGAGAGAGAGAGAGAGAGAACTGTAAGCCAGGGAAGCATCTCAAATTTATAGCTATCAAGTGAAAGGCTCAAGGCAATGCCAGTGCTCCTCAGAGAGCTGGACTAAAGTTCTAATTTGTAATCATTAGATTATAGAACATGACCAAGTACAGGTATTTAAAAATGTTTAAAAATGTGGATTTCATTTGAGTTCAAAATTTAGATTTTGCTTAGATTTCAGGCACTGTTGATAATCCTCAAACAGACCAGGGGGTCCAAAGGGGACTAGACATTTGTACACAAGTAATGACCACAGAGTGCTAGAACATAGATCATTTACATAGGAACGTGGGTGGGCCTGACACCTCAAGGACCTGAGGGTTGGAATGGAGATGAGTAGGAAGGTGTTTAGATGAAGGAAACAGCATGAGGAAGAGCATGTCAGGAATGGGTGGAGAACAGAGAGTTGCCTAGAATATTAAAAGAGGATAAGAGAGAGAGAGAGAGATGAAGTTCCCCTTCCACAGGGAAACAAATCAACACAGATGAATTATACCAGTTAAAATAAGACTTCCAATCATCTCAAAACATAAACAGAAAAAAAATTGAAAAACTGATAAAAATGGGTTATATAGTACTCAGAATCAAATCTTTGTTTTCTTTCCTTCTTTTTAATTGTTATTGTTTCAAATTAATAAGGTTCACAAGCTGAATCATGTGCCCATTTCTACTTCTGTTCTCATGGCTCATTACTTCTGTCTTGTACACAGAGGACTATAAAGTCACAGGGAGATGTTTCATTCGCTAATGGTCTTATAGTCAAAGTTCATAATTAAAAGCTTTTTCATGAACCGTAGGATCTAGAGAACCATTGCAGAGCTGGAGACTGGGGCTCAGGAAGGGTGAGGGACTTGCATAAGGTCATACTGCTGGTGGGTGACCAAGAGCTAAAAAGATTCTCTGGTTTTTGTCTTGTCTTTCTACCATAGTTCCTCAATAAAAATATGAAGAAAATCAATCACAATGATAGCAAGAAGTTGGATTAGATTAACAATGTCAACGAATGATCTGGAAAGAGTTTTTGAAAATAAATCCCAGGGCAACATTTCCCAGATATCTAGAATTCTAAAAGTCTCTACAAGTGACTGAAATATAGCCAGGTTTTATAATTAAATGACCCTGAGAATCTATGACTATGTTAAATTACTAACTTCTTCCAAGGTATAGATATATTAGGTGTGATTTTCCCCCCATCTAAAAGAGACTATGATTTTAAGTAAAATATAATTGTTGCCAATATCTGTTATGATACATTCTAAAGCAAGTTGAAGATTTACAAATTGTCTAGGTTTGGACATTCCATCAGGATGAAAAAGCGAGACCTGATTTGTGAATCAAAAAACGTTAGCCCAGATGTTACCAAAACAAATTTCCATTGCTAATCCCAGGTTCAACTGCTTTTATTCTACATTTATTTATTCAGTTGTTATGGGCCTAGAGATACAGAAAGTCCAAAGTCCTGGAGAAATCTCTCCTCCATGGCCTTTACACCATCCAGCCATCTTGAAAATACCATGGTCTGTTACCACTGGGGGAGGCATGCATGGGCTGATCTGGACACCAGACTGATGAAAGGGCTTGGAGGCAGGTAAGAACTGCCACATAACACACTGTTCCTTATTTATCCAAAAAAAAAGCTTTGGTTCCAAATATGGTTTTCCTCACTACAATTTTGGGATCACTTGGATTATCACAAACTTCAGGGATTTAACTGTGGACAATCTACTTCTTCATAGTAGGATAAGGCAAAATGGCACGTTCTGTTTTGTGTAAAACATATCAAGGGTTAGATACATATATATAATGCATTTTACTCTTGAAGGAGGGAGGGGTACATACCCTTATTTTATTTGATTTGCTGATGAGGCAGCAAGGTGAAAGTGTAAAATAGCTTCCATCCACTGAAAGAAGACTAATATCCACCGTTCCAAGTATTTTTGTGATTAAGGAGATCAATTTTTGTACTTAATATTAATGGAACACCCACACAGTGGGTCCCCACATGGGTACTTGTGGAAAATCTACACTACTAACTGGACTTCATGAAAATGAATAAGAAGAATAATCCAGAAATACCCAGGCGGCACTGTCTCTAAAGGCCTTTTGTTGGGGGGTGGAGGGGCTGGCGAAAGAAGATGCAAAGGAAAGAAAAAGCAGCAGTATCAGGTAGAGGCAGAACTCTCATTAAGTTGTCCTGCTCCCCAGAAGAGGGAAACCAAGCATGATGGTCAAGCCTAGAAACATTTCCTTTGAACTCCTAACCCTAAGGAACTACTTCCCTCTTCCCAAGACTGAGTTTCTGCTAATTCATCATGAACCAAGAACCAATACCTAGGTCTCCGATGGGTCTGAGTGGAAGCCATCAAGCACTGGGCCCCCCAGAATGGAACCACAGACACACTGGTTCCGCCCTTCATTCTTCAGGCCACAAGGACCTGGGACCTAGATCCCAGATCCCCTGCTGTCCAGTCAGAGGTTCCCATGGCAACCAATGGCCCACACCCTTCGTTCGCTGTTCTAGAAGATCCAGGGACTCCTGGTACTGGGCAGTCCGGGGTGAGCCAGGGGCAGCGCGCCAGGTAGACCTGCGCACCCTAGCTCCTCCTCTCTCCGTCGCCCTGAGGTTGGGCCGGAGGCATTGTTACCCACCACTCACCCGCGACCACACCGAGGTCCGGCCGCTCACGGGGCAGCCCCCACCTCCAGAAGCCTGCCCGAGCCCACGTGCCAGGTGGGCATCCCGGCGGCGCGCCCCCTCCCAGCCCTCCCTGGCCCTGCCACGGCCTAGTGGGGAGACCCAGCGGTCGCCTACGCTCACCGGCCGGGGGTTCCTGCAGACTCAAGCGCACGTTCAGGTATTCCACCTCCGCGGCGGCGGCCGGGGTCGCGGCGCTGACGCCTGCGCTCGGGCCCCAGGCGGCGGTGGCGCGGCCCTGGGCCTCCAGGCGCAGCGCTCGCAGGGCCACTGGCTCTGCCGCCTCCAGCAGCACGTGCCCGGCCACCGTCTCGCCGCTCGAGTAACAGCCTTTGCGCTCGTCCTCGAACACCAGACCCAGGTTCTTCACGCGGCCCTCGGAGCCCACGGCCGCCGCGGACCCCGCCTCGCCGCCCATCCCGCCAGGCGACGCGGCCCCGCCGCAGACGTAGGCAGAGGCCCGGAACCGGGGTCACGAGCCCCGCAGCGCCGCTGTCACGGGCGCTGGCCGCACGCTCAGGGCTGCCGTGGCCCCTGTGAGGTACCTGGTGGAGCACCGGCACGCCTTGGGCGCTGTCGCTTTAACAAACCCAGCTGGGACTGAAAAGGGGCTGGGACAGCCCACTCCCAGTGGGCGCCCATTGGCCAGCTGTGAGCCCAGCTTCTTGCCGATTAGTTGTAAATGGCCACTGAATCATTTCATTGGCGCTCCCAGGCGGGGGCTGGCGCAGGAAGGCAGTGCGTGATCAGGGAGTGTTGGCCAATCGGAAGACGCAAGCGTGCACGTGCACAGGTCGTTTATTGGCTGGGGCAAGGCACAGTCCTGGGGCACGGACCAATAGCGAGGCGGTGCGCCCATGTGGACAGACAGTGAGAAACAATATCTGTCAGGGAGGCGGCGGAACAGGGTACCTCCAGCTCCCGGCGTGGCAGCTGTTCCTATGGTTACGAACGGGGGCGGGGTTTCTAGTAGCGTGAAGACTGTTTGCAGGAGTCACAGGGTTCGCGCTAGAACAAGACGTTGTGGCTGCAGCTAGCTTGTGTTTATGATTACGTCTGCAATACTCGAGAGGAAATTGATGCCCTGGAAAATGGAACTCGGCAGTGTTTCCCTGTGAGACCTTCGGGGCGGCCACGTTGTGACTTTTCTGAACAACTTGGATTCTACTAACCTCCAGGTTCCCGAACCCCGCCTCTCCTGAGTTTCAGAACTCCCAGCCTAGGTAAGAGCCACAGACAAGAAAAATGAAGGCTGTGGTTCTAAACCTGGTACAACTCCTAAGGCGTTCTGCTCACAGGCTCCGCAGTCTCGCTGAGCTGGGAATGGCGGGAACTCTTAATTCTTCCTGTTCTAAATAAGGTCATGAATCAGGTTATTTCTGCCCCACCCTAAAGAATTTCCTGACCTCAGTATCATATCCACAAACATTTCCAGTTGCCTTAATAACTTTGTTTCCCCACGCCCATCGCTCCTCTTGCTTGTCCTGTTTCATTTTCTTTAATTCACCATTCCTTCTCTGTTCTAATTCTTTTTCACCATCTATTATATCATAGCTGTCACTATCTGGCCATCATTGTATAACCTTTCAAAGTCCCCCCCCCCCTTTAGCAAAGTTCCACAGTTCTTGTTATCATGGATTTATTAATCTCATAATAAGATTAAAAATTTTTCTTGATGTAGCTTGGAAGTAAGAGAGGGAGGGAGGGAGGAATGACGGAAGGAAAGGAAAGAAGAAAGGAAAGGGAAGAAAAGGAGAGTACCCCAAAGTAAAGGTGGTTGTACTGCCCCCTTTGAATTTAGATTATTAATGTGCAACTCAATAAGGCTTTACACGTCCTAAATTTCCTAATTACCTCTCAAAGTGGGAAAGGCCACAAATTCAACTCTGCGTGGAGTTCTGAAATCGCTGTTATACTCTGATCATTTTGTCTAGAGTAGCCCCCAACATGCTCCTACTCTGTCTGCTTTCCTTCCTAATACAATCTGACCTCCTATTTTATTTGCATATTGTCCATCATCCCCACTAGAAACACCAAACTCATTCTCATTTATTTATTTATTTTTTTACCCCTGGTACCTAACACAAAGCTTAGCATAAAGCAGGTGCTCAATAAAATGTTTGTTGATTAATTGAATCATGAATCCCAACCCATATAGTATTATTGGTTCTGCAATAAATGAGTGTAGTCTGCCACTTGCTCTACACTTTTATTGTCTCCAGGAAGACAATATTCTCCAACCCTCTGCCCTCCAAATTAAGTGGCTGGGAGGTGGATAAAAGGACAGTGGCTCTAACCGAATGATGAATGGACAGAAGTACAGACATGACATTCTGTGCTTGGAAAGAGAAGACTGCTCACTTGTCAGTTTTAACTATAGGTAACAGAACATGTGACCAACAGTGGCTTACCCAGTAAGTATATTTCTTATTTATTTGACAAGAAGTTCAGTAGTAGAGTAGGCACTGTTAGGGTTGGTTCATCAGACTCCATTTACCTGTCTTCTCTGACATACTTATCTCCCTTCATGATAGCCATGCTTACCACAGCTCAAAGTGTCTCTTTCTCACACAATAGAATTCAAAACAAGGGTGTGTCTGCAGCCCCCCACCCCACCCCAAGAAAAGATTTTTCTCTCTTGCAGAAATAAAATGTATTTATTTCCTAGATGCCGCCAACAGACTTCTTACATGTCATTGGCCAAAACTAAGTCATACGTGCATCTGTAGCTCATTAACTGGCAAAAAGAAAGGATTTTTACAATTTATTTAGACCACTGATTCTTCTTTGGAGGCTGAACAAAATCAGAGCTCTGTTAACAAGGAAGAAGGGTCAACAGCTATTCAGTAGTTAATTCAGTAGAGCCATTTGAGTGTCTTGAGTGGGTCTGGCTAAGTTTGCTATATAGAGCAGACCTACCCCTTTCAGACATTTAAAGTATATTTAAATAAAAATAAAATAAAATAAACTTCTAAAACCAGAGAGAAGATAATTTACATATGATTTGCCTCATTCACAGATAAAATTTCATTTTTATTGTGCATACATTAAAATAGATATTCAAGTTCAGCTAACATTAATATAGCAGTATATGGGTTTTTTGAAGTGCAATCTGACAATCTCTGTCTTTTAATTAGCATGTTTAGACCGTTTAAATACGTAATCTTTGATAAGGTAGGTTGGTACTATAATTTGGATGTTTGTGCCCACCCCCTCCCCCACAAATTCATATGTTGAAATCCTAACTGCCAAGGTGATAGTATCAAGAGGTGGGGCCTTTAGGAGATGATTAGATTATGAGAGAATAGCTCTTATGAATGGAGTTAGAACCCTTAAAAAAGATGGATAAGAGATATTTCACTCCTTCCATCATGTGAAGACACAGCAGCTACCATCTGTGAGGAAGCAAGCTACTATAGCTTGGGTATGGTTTGTCCCTACCAAAACTCATTGAAATTTGATTCCCAATGTAACAGGATTGGGAGTTGAGGCCTAGTGGGAGGTTTTGGGGTGTTAGGGGGCTTGGGTCTCATGAATAGATTATTGCCTCCTGGCAGGAGTGAGTTGTTGCTCTCATAGGACTGGATTAGTTCCCATGAAAGCAGGTTATTAAATCAAGTCTGGCTTCCTAGGTTCCTCTCTCTTACTTCCTTTCTTGCCATGTGATCTCTTTGCTCCTCTCTGTTTTCTGCCATGAGTGGAAGCAGCCTGAGTCCCTTACCAGATGCAGCTGCCCAATGTTGGACTTTTCAGCTACCAAAATCATGAGCCAAATAAACCTCTTTTCTTTATAAATTACCCAACCTCAGATATTTATTCTGTTATAACAACACTAAAGGGACTAAGACTGGGGGTCTCACCAGACACCAAATCTTCAGGGGCCTTAATCTTAAAATTTCCAGTCCCTTGAACTGTGAGAAATACATATTTGTTGTTTATAAGCCACATAGTTTATGGTATTTTGTTATAGTAACCTAAATGGATTGACACAGTTAGTTTTATAGGAATTATTTTATCATTTGCTTTGATTGTGACTTCATTAGTGTGTGTGCATATGTTTCTCTGTTCTCCCTTTCTTGCCTTAATTTTGATTATTTGAACATCTTTCAGTAATCCATTTAAATTTATATATTTAGTTTTATGTTTGTATATATTTTTAGCAGTAGCTTTAGAAATTACTGTCTCCTTTTTTATGTTATAGTTGTCCTCTGTCCTATATCTGCATACACTGAAAACTCCACCAGACAATGTTTACATTTTTGCTTTCAATAGTTATATGTATTTGAAAGAACTCAAGAGAAGAAAAATAATCTATTAAAATTACCCAGATATTTGCCATTTCTGTTACTCTTTCTTTATTTCTGAAGTTTCAGGTTCCATCAGGTAACATTTTAGTTTGAAGAAGAATTTCCTTTAGCATTTGCCTTAGAGATGGCCTGTTGACAATGAATCCTCTTAGTTTTTGTTCAGCTGAGAATGTTTTTATTTTGCCATCATTACTGATGGATATTTTTACTGGATATAAAAATCTGGGTTGGTAGTTCTTTCAGCATTTTATGAATGTTATTCCAATGTCTTCTGAGAACCTTATTTCTGATAAACTATCAATAGTCTTTCAAATTGTTCTTCCTCCATGTATAATTGGTAATTTTTTTATGTCTGCTTTCAAGATTTTTTCCTTAATGTTTAGTTTTCAGTAGTTTGATTATAGTGTAGTTGGGTTTGATTTTCTTTGAGTTCTGTTTGGGTTTGTTCTGTTTGTTTTTCTGAGGTTGTTAAATATGTAAATTTATGTCTTTTACCAAATTTGTGTTTTTTGCCATTTTGTCATCAAAAATTTTTCACACAAACCTTTTTCTTTTGAAATGCCAATATCAAAATGTTAGATATTTTTATAATGTTACACAGCTTCCTCAGTCTGATTTTTTTGATCCTTTTCCTTTCTGTTGTAGAGGTTAGGTAAATTCTATTTATCTGTTTTCAAGTTTACTGACTGTTCCCTCTATCACCTTCATTATGCTATTGAGACCATCCAGTGACTTTTCATTGCAGGTATATTTTTCAGTTTTGAAGTAATCATTTTTTAATAGTTTCTAATTCTTTGCTAAGATTATCTTTCTAATCATTTCTAGAGTGCCTGCCTTTACCTCATTAAGCAGGAGTTGTTTTAAGATCTTTGAAAAAATTTCAATATCTGCATTATATCAGGGTTGATGTCTGATTGTCTTTTCTCTTGAGAATTAGGTCACATTTTATGAGATTTTTATTTTTGTATTTTGAATAATTTTACATTATATCCTAGAAATTTTGCATATTATAAGACTCTGGGTACTATTAAAATTAAAACTGTGAAAAGAAAATATTGGGAAAAGACATCATGATATTATTCTGGGCAAGGACGTCATGAGTAATAACCCCAAAGCACAGGCAACCAAAGCAAAATTGGACAAATGGGATCACATCAAGCTAAAAAGCTTCTGTAGAGCAAAAGAAGCAATCAGCAAAGTAAAGAGACAACCCACACGTTAGGAGAAGATATTTGCAAACTATCCATCTGACTATGTACTAATAGCACTAATGTACTAATGTACTGACTAATGTACTAATAACTAGAGTATATAAAGAGCTCCAACAATGCAATAGGAAAAAAATCAAATAATCCCATTAAAAATGGGCAAAGTATCGGAATAGACATTTCTCAAAAGAAGACATACAAAAGGCCAACAGGTATATGAAAAAATGCTCAACATCATTAGTTATCAGAGAAATGCAAATCAAAACTATTAGGAGATACCATCTCACTCCGGTTAAAATGACTTTTGTCAAAAAGATAGGCAAAGCTGGAGAGTATGGAGAAAGGGGAACCCTCATACACTGTTGGTAGGAATATAAATTAGTGTAACCATTATGGAAAACAGTATGGGGGTTCATGAAAAAACTAAAACTAGAACTACCATATCATATGATCCAGCAATACCACTGCTAGGTACATATCCAAAATAAGGGAATTCGGTATATTGAAAAGGTATCTGCATGCCATGTTTATTGCAGCACTATTCACAATAGCCAAGATTTGGAATCAGCCTAAGTGTCCATCAACAGATGTATGGATAAATAAATTGTACATACACACAGTGCAATATTGTATAGCCACAAGAAAGAATGAAATCCTGTCATTTGCAACAACCTGGATGAAACTGGAGAACATTATGTTAAGTGAAATAAGCCAAGCACAGAAAGATAAATCTTGTACATTCTCACTCATATGTGGGATCTAAATATTAAAACAATTGTCTTATGGAGACAGAGAGTAGAATGATGGTTACTGGATGCTAGGAAGGGCTGTGAGGAGAGGAGGATAAAGTGTGGATGGTTAATGGGTATACAAATATAGTTACATAGAATGAAAAATATTTGATAACACAACAAAGTGACTATATTCAACAATAAGTTAGGGCATACTTTAAAATAACTAAAAGAGTGGAATTAGAATATTCGTAACACTAAGAAATGCCTGAGGTGATGGATACCCCAGTTACCCTGATTTGGTTATTGCACATTGTATGCCTGTATCAAAACATCACACATACCCTATAAATATATACAACTATTCTGGACCCATAATAATTAGAAATTAGTTTTAAAAATCCTCTGGAGAATGTCAACTTCTTTATTTTCACAGGCTGTAAACCTGGGCATGTTTAGACTGTAAGTCTGTCCCAGTGTTTCCACTGTCAGTTTAGTGCTCAGTGACTTTGCTCTTCTGCTGTGGGTCTGTTCCACACATGAGCAGCTCAAGTGAGCCTGGGACTTGAGTCAGTCCATGCACAGAATTAAGGGATCATCTTATTCATTTCTTCCCTCTTCATTATCTCCTCTACTCCCTATAGCTCCCAGGGGCCCTATTCTCTAATCCTCATGATAGATATTTGGTATTTCTCTAGGAATTTTAGTTACACGTGCCGCTGTGTGATTAGGTAAAGCAGTGAGGGAGAAGAGGAAAAATACAATGGGGATTCTCCTCCCACTCTAGGCCACAGGTCTTCTTTTCCCATTTCCTCTAGCCATAAAGACAGGTTTTCTCTTTGGATTTTAGGTACCTGTTCCACCATAACCACCTGAGTATAGCTCCAGGACCAGAGCCACCCTCAAGGCATCAATATATAAATAGTGGAAAACAGACAAATCTTCCTTATAGAGTAATTGCAAATAATTTATGTAGATTCTGCTCCCCCTTACCTTGAGTGTGTACTAGGCTTAGTGACTTGCTTTCAGCAAAACAAACACTATTTAGGCCACGTGATGAAGATTAGCATCACTACTGATAGGTTGTGTTGATAGCATGTACCTTTGATATGATGTTATAAAAAGAGCACTGTACTTCTTTGCTAGTCTTTCCTCAATCCCATAACTC